TCCGGGGGGGGCGGGGGGGGGGGGGGGGGGGGGGGGGGGGGGGTCCCAGGGGGGTCTCGGGGGTCCCGGGGGTCCTGGGAGAGGGTTGGGGGTCCCAGGAGGGTTCCAGGGGGTCCCAGGGGGGTTGGGGAGTCCCGGGGGTGCTGGGGTGGGTCCCAGGAGGTCTCGGGGGTCCCGGGGTCGGGGGTCTCTCACCGGTGACCTGGGTGGGCGCGATCTCGGCCGCGCTGCGCGTCAGCTGCTCCGGGGGCAGCCGCCAGAGCGGGGCCGGCGTGGGACGGGCCACCAGCGCTGGGGACAGCACGGCATGGGACAGGGACAGGGACAGGGACAGGGGACATGGGGACAGCACGGCGTGGGACACACAGGGATAGGGACAGGGGACAGGGGACATGGGACAGGGACATGGACACACGGGGACAGGGACAGGGACAGGGGACAGCACAGCGTGGGACACATGGGGACATGGGGACATGGGGACATGGGGACAGCACGGCATGGGATGGGGACAGGGACAGGGGACAGCACGGCGTGGGACACACAAGGACAGGGACAGGGGACATGGGGACAGCACGGCGTGGGACACATGGGGACAGGGACAGGGGACAGGGACAGCATGGCGTGGGACGGGGACAGAGACAGGGACAGGGACAGGCACATGGGGACAGAGGACAGCACGGTGTGGGACAGGGACATGGGACAGGGGACATGGGGACAGGGGACATGGGGACATGGGGCAGCACGGCATGGGACACACAGGGACAGGGGACATGGGGACAGGGGACATGGGGACAGCACAGCGTGGGACACACGGGGACAAGGGACACAGGGAGAGGGGGACACGGGGATAAGGGGACGCGGGCACAGCGCCGCTCCCCCCGCCCCGCCCCGCCCCGTCCCCATCTCTGCTCTCGTTCCTGTCCCCAAACTGTCCCCAAACCCTTCTGGTCACCACAGGCACGACCCCCTCTTCATCCTGGTGCGTGTCCCTGAAGTGTCCCTGAACTGTCCCCAAAGTGTTCCCGAATTGTCCCCAAATAGTCCCCAAAAAGTCCCTGAACTGTCCCCAAAGTGTTCCCGAATTGTCCCCAAATAGTCCCCAAAAAGTCCCTGAACTGTCCCCAAAATGTCCCCGAATTGTCCCCACACCTCCCTCCATGTCCCCTCCCCCGTCCCCTTTATTTCCCCTCCGTGTCCCCCCATGTCCCCCCCAGCCCCCCCG